AACAAACAAACAAACAAAACTTGTAAAGGAACGCATTCCCCGTCTTCCAAAATTTGTTTTGAAGAGCTTCGAGATAGACCGGCCTCGAAAGCAGCAGAAAGCAGACGAGAGCAAGGCCATATAATAGTTTCTTAGGCCTTGTAGGCCCTAGTAGTTTCCGACCCCCACCGGACACGATTTGGTAGCCGAGGTCTGTGACGTCAGCCGGGCGTGAAGTTTTCCCTTCACCATAGGCTTCACACACAAACCGGCCGAAGTTCATGCCAGGATAGCCCGGCTTGAAAGTGCAAAAATGATTAAATTTTGCCCTCAATAGATTCATTGCTTCATTTTATAACTAAAAACGTCCGTTATTAGGACTCAATGAAGGTAAAAAGTACTCAAAATCGAAGTTCAAGAAGATGCTGTCCGAGCACAATCTGGTAACATCACGTGACCTCTTTTAAGCAGAATGTATATAATTCAAGGATGTTATTACACGATTGCTGCCTAAAACATCATAAATAATACGCTTGTAACATTTATTGCTTCTGTTTAAGTCATAACATTGCAAAACGCAAAGTTTATCATGGAAGTCACGTGACCAAAGGTATAGCAGGGGTTGGGACAAGCACTCAAAGGATTTCAAGTTTTTTAATTAAATTATATAAGTTTCATGATGAAATTGAAAGAATGTATTTTTTCCTAATGAAATACAAATTTCTGTATGTAAAATATTTTCCTTATGGGCGAAATTCTCCATATAAGAAATGTCAGTGACGTCACCAGGGCTTTACTGGGCTTTACTCAAAACATCGGACCTACCTGTTTCTTATAGGTATCTTGGTAGTTTCTAGGGCCTTGATAATAGTGACGAGAGCAGACGACACAAAAATGAAAAAATCAAGAAAAAATATCATGCACGAGACTTCTCATGAAACTTTGAGAGGCTCCTCCGATTTTGAGGAGTAGGTCATTCACACGACATCCCCAATAAAAAAGTTTCAAGAAATGGAATACAAAATCAAAGGAAAATAAATTAATGTTTGCACTTTGCGATATTTTTTTTGTTCATTTTTAGCATGCAAACTGGAAAGGCAAATATAAATTGGAAATGGAAGCCCAATGAAAGTCAAATCGTACTGCTACAAAATTAAAAAAGTCTTGACCCCACAGGCCAGAGTTAGGTACGGGCAACAGGTAAACCGGTACGGGCAAAGCGTGTGCTTGACTTTTATGGGACATCGGATTTACGTAATATATTTAGAGAAAAATAACAAGCGAACAAAATAACCTTCAATTAGAGTGCATCAAAGGCCCTTATTACTATAAACATGTGACGCCTTAGTGTTTGCGATGTTTTATGTAATGCTTGCTCCATAATCAAAAAGGCGCTACGGATGCTTTGTACCTAACTAATTAATTAATGCGTGATTTTCACTCGTGATAAATCTACTCCTATTCAGGATTCATATATGGTGAGAAAAATATGGCGTGAGATTCCCCATTTCAAGGGTTCACGAAATTTGCAACGATCGACTTCGCTTCATCGCGGCCAATCTACATGTGCTACCAAATGCAGAGAACAGCAAGGTTATGAAATATAAAATTGGCTCAAGCAGACGCCAGAAGGCGGAATAAAAGATCTCTGCATTCATCATATAAAAACACGGCAGCCCATGAGCCCATGAAATATTCGCCCAACGCTGCACTGTATCACAAAAAAGACACCTCACACATTTCTCTCGTCCACATCCACCTCACCTGGTGTCGCGCCGTGCCGCGTCGGGCCGGGCGCGGCCCTGCCATGGCGTCTCCGGGCCGCCGCTCACCCACTGGCCGTCGCCGCCGGCGCCCAGCGCGCTCATCCGCGACGGATTCATGATCAGAGAACTGCCGAGGGAGCTGAAACAAGCAAGCGTTCATCGAACATGAACGGAGGCAGTGACAACTGTATGCAGAATGTTTAGTTGTAATTTTCACCCAAAATGTAGTCACCTGAGGTCACAGCAGTATGACGATAATCTCCAAGCGTTGCAAAACAGCCGCCGTTGTCACTTGTCGCTTAGTCTGTGGGGTAGTAATTAAGCATTACTGGCGGCCTAAGTCGAAGCACGGGGGCACGGGGCTAGCCGCTAAGTTGATTTAACTGCAAAATGCGAAAATAGATGGCCGGGGCCTGGAGGGTAACTTTCCTTCCATGGCGTAACGTAAAAAAGTATTTTCGCAGAATGAGCCCGGAGACGCCATCCCCTTCCGTTGACCGTTCTGTCGGCGACTGGGTGTAGCAAGGCTAGTGGGTACGGTCTCGTCGCTGATGTCCAGCACAGCACGCAAACCAGCTTCGCTGTGCAACTGCAAGTGCAACGGAAGTGAAGTGAAAGGCAACAATTCTTTCTGACGGGCGTTCCGTTCGGCAGTTCGGTTATATCTATCGTACTCAAGCCAAGTGGCATAGGTTTACGCATAGGTACTCAAGCCATCCCAGTTTACGTTTTGCTGGCATCAACATATAGGCAGGTACTGATTAATTTGAATTTGAGTTAGGTACTGGCGGTTGGTAGGCGGTAGCTGCGCGGATACGCGGCACGGCTATATCGATATCGTTTATATAGCCTTGATCGATATGGCCGTAAGCACATCACGGCTTAGCAAAAGTCGCATATAATACTCACCAATCAAAATCGATGGTATCGCAGCCAGCAGGCAGGCTTGCGTTACGGAAACCCAGCGTCAGTGAAAAAAGAGTACCTACGTATGAGCACGGCCTTGATCAGCACAAACGCTCAAAAAGTAGGAGAAAGCCTGGGAGAAAGCAGTCATACACTGGTTATATGGCCTTGCATAGACTACTGCTCGCCGCTCGGCGGCGCGGCAAGAGATAAAAGCCAAATTGCTGCCAGATTGGGCTACTGTTCACTTCACGAGCTTCTTGGCGGTTTTCACCCAAATAACTAGTGTAATATAGCGCCAGACGGTCACAGCCTTATCTTTCGAAAATCATGCTGATAAAGAAAAATACCTAACCATATTTTTCATCTGATGAAATTATATTTAGTTTTAATCTTAAGACTACCTTTCTTGGCTTTTGCAATGATTTTGACCATAATTTTGACATAAAATTTGTGACTTTGGCAGCAAGCCTGTTGTCATGGCAACCTCGGCTATGGCCTTGACATCTTGCCTTGTTGACATACTTGTTGACATCGGCGATTGAGATCGATGGGCCGAGTGTAGATTCGGTTGCATCTTGGTTGCATCTGGGCCATTGACAGTGGCGGATCCAGGGGGGGGCTGCGGGGGCTGGCAGCCCCCACCCAAGGAAAACTGGCGCCACTGCGCCGAAGGCGCAGTTGGCGCCAATTTTCAATTCGCAACTCATCGGAGTGCCGCATACTAGCCCCGCGTTCGATGTCTCCCGGACGGCGAAGATTCTACGCCGTCCGGCCAATCACGTTCCACAACCGCAGCCGAGCCCCCTCTGACCTTGGACGGGATTGGCCGGACGACGTAGAATCTTCGTCGTCCGAGAGACATCGAACGCGGGGTAGGACTAGGATGCAAAAATCAGTCGAATAACGTCGTTTCAGTACGCTCCGCACCGATATTTCCAATCGTGTGGTGTCACTGTACATACTGATCCTGGGCGCCTCTTGTCAGGGCCACTGGGCGCCAATATTTCAGCGCCAATACGATGCGACTATGGCGCCCATCCGGGGCGTGGCGCCCAATTATGACCTGCAGCCCCTCCCCAGTGAAAATCCTGGATCCGCCACTGGCCATTGATCTGGAAGTGTTGAATTTTGACTGTTGCGTACACGTTTATCCTCATCACCACGGTACGCCTCCGATAAGGCCCTCGACCAGCCGAACATGTCAGGCAAGTCGCAGTCCGCAGATAATCTTGAAAAGTAATCATTTGTGCACAATTTTAGTACCCGTGAGATTGTAGCGTCCTCTAGAGCTGCCTTTGCGTACGACTTATATCTAGGTGGCAGCACATGGTGGGGATAATGATGTTACATCGATAACATTACGGGTATTCCCATCAAATTTGTTTCCCCTTGCACCTTGGTATTGTTCGTGGGCACTGGGCTTGGCCTGGCTAGCGGGAACGGTACACCCGTCGACCAGGCTGCTCTTCTTCCCTCTTCAGCGCGCCAGGCGGGGGCGCTGGGTGAGTGCTCGAACCGCCCCATCTGCCGGATGTATGCACCCGATGGTCTTGCCGACCGGCCCGGAGAGGACATTCTCGAGGGGTTGAAGGGGCCCTACTCAGAGCCGGCGTCTCGTGAAGGCACAGGTCGGGCACATGGCGAAAAGGTGTGATGTGTTGTCTACGGCACCGCAGTCCGCACTGCCGGCAGTACGGGCTCGGGATGAGGTCCGCTCTGTGGCGTGTGGCCCTCGGCAGGGAGCAGTAGCCGCTCCTTAGGTGACCCAGGGTGAGAGTTGTTCCGAACGCGAGAGGCCATCCCGGTCTGTGCGGTTATTTGGACAACTGTGGAGCACAGTGTCGCACGGGGCAGCAGCCAGCCCGCCCATGACAAGAAGTAGGCCTCGTTCCGGGAGGAACAGGCGCGCTCCTGATGCCGCAGCCGCTGTTGGCTCATGGCTGAACGTGAAGAATCTGGTGGACATGTCCAATGTCAATATGTTTGGATCGTGCTCCGTTGAAGATATTGTACAACTGGCCGGGCAGGAAAGGGCTCGTTAGTGATGGTAACTGGTAAGATAGTCATTCGTGGGCATGTGTGAATAGGATCACCGGCCATCAATGTTGGTAATATCACAAAACACTGGACAAACGTTTCATCAACATAAATAAACTTAACTCGTCCGGTTATTATCGCGTGGACTGCACATTTAACAAGGGTCCGCCTCGCTGCCTATCAGATAGCACCTAGAAGGCCCCTTCCGTGCAGCGCCTTTTTAACTCTGTGCGGCCTGCCGTGTATGTCGGTACATGACCCAGACACTTGACAATACCGCTTAAATAGAGATATGGTTCAAACGTCCACTGTAGCACACTGTTGTTCTATTGTCACATTAACACACTCCCAATAAGAAGTAGTTACATGATAAAACAATAATTTACGACATGCATAACTAAATAAATTAGACAAAAACGTATCCCAAACAAATAAAACTTTCAGGATATACAGCCGATTGCTTTCTTGTCGACAAGAAATTATGACATTTGTTTGTCGCAGCTCGACGATGAAAGCTTCCATGGTTGTACTTCTATTGTTGTACGAACACCGCGCAATAAGCACAGTACATACTAATTTACTTCATTCGGTCACACGGTAAACCGCGACGGAATTGGTTTAGCAGAACAGTCAATAAAACTATCACACACAAAGATACAACTACTTCTAGTAAATAAAATTTCATACATGTAAAGCTTGTTACCTGACACTCTGAATTTCCAAAACGGAAACAAAATTATGACTCGCAAGATTTTTTATGCAATATACATTATACATCTTATTTTATCACACACAAACACGACTATTGCACTCCATTCACTTACTCGATTCGCACATCAAATCCCTGTATAACATTGAGCAACATACAATTACACATTGTACAACATACATATACCGGGTTCGGCTCTTTGCTCCAAGCTCTTCTTTTCACTGCCTAAAGTGTAGAAGAGATTATTGTATCGTCACTTGTGACTAAGAGAACTTAAGTGTAAGCTTTGGTCAATCTCAAATAAGTAAACCTGGTCGAATTCTACTCCCAATTCATGATTCGATCGTCCGTAGTTGTACGGAGTTCGTCATTCACGACCGACCACAGTCAGTCTGAGGGCAGCCGCCGCTGGTTAGCGATGGTCGGTGTTACTGTCCCGTTCCAACGCAGCTGGTCCCGTCAGGCTGAGGACAACGATCGACAATCGGCGATAGTCGGCGCCACTGTCCCGTTCCAGCGCTGTTAGTCCGTCACTCTGAGGGCGGCGCCTCGCTTACTCACAGGGCAGCCGCCGCCCGTCGAGAATGGTCGGTCAGGCCACTCGTGAGCAGCGGCCGCCAGCGTGGGATGGTCTCCACTCACAGGGCGGCCGGCGCCAGTCTGCGATGGTCGGCACCTCTGCCTCCTCGCTCTCGTTCCAGAGCTGCTCGGCAGTGAGCAGCCGCCGTCCGCCTGGCACGGTGATGTACCGCAGCAGGCGGATGCGGTCCGAGGTGGGCTGGCCGCACCGCTCCAGCGAGGTGCCTGAGAGAAGGAATGGGGTAGGTTAGACGGAGAGCGCCTCTGTAGGGCGCGAGGGAGCTCTAGCAAGGTGGCTGCCACGGGAAAACGGTGGGGATAGGAGAGCGACTCTGGGAGAGAGTCGTTTTTAGCTTAATATGCGCGAAGAAACATCCACATCCTTGTTTTGCATTATCAATCTGGGTTGAATATCGTTGAATGAGAGTTGTTTACAGTTCGCGAAGGATTTTACGGCTAAGAAAACTCAATGCCGTCCCAACATCTTTTCGATGCTATAAGTCGGGCAGTCCCGGACTCCAGTCTCCCCTCCTGTCGCAGTCGCTCTTACCTCCGACGTAGACGCCGAGGGAGCGTCCGTCGGGCAGGTCGCTCTCCAGTCGCTCCACCAGGCCCTCTGAGATGCAGTCCACACAGCTGAGGTCCAGCAGAGCGAGCGAGGGAAGGGCGACCGCCAGACTGGGTGGGGTAAAAGAAGAAAGGTCAGATGAGAACAGGAGAGAGACGAACGGTGGCCTCCCAAGTCCAATAACACGTCACAGTGTGAGTTATTTGCGAAGGAATCCTTTCCATGTTGTGTTGTGACTACTCTACAGGGAACAAGACTTAACACTCTAAACTCTACAGCACGGAATATATAGTCTACGACATGGAATGGACAAGATCGAGATTTCCTGTAACTGCCAAGTTTTTGGCGACCTGCTGATGATTTAGTCGTGCGGATTCGCTGTGGTTACTTCCTTTACGAGGATGAAAGTATAGTTGCCAGACCTATAACTAATAGGGGAAGGTGGGGCATAACGGGGTACCGGGGCAATATGAGAAGGTGCATTTTATTCTAATCAGGTGTTGCTGTCTGGAATCACTTCTGACAATTTAAAGTTCGCTCGTTGGCCGCCCTTTTCCGGTGGACGCCGGCGGGAGGCGGCGTTGCTGAGGATGGTGGGTAAAGTTTTTTTCATGGTGCTGATGTATTTTTCAACATTCGTTTGGTAACTTCCTAGGTGAAAATCCGTTCGAGTAAGTTTGTCATAGTCAGTGAAAGCAATGACTCTCGTCCTAGCCAACCTTTCGCTGCGATAGAAAGTTGCCGGCTGTTTTGCTAAACATGAACGATCCTGCTCTATTGCCAATGTCCTTCGGGGGTTAAAACGGGTTTCCGATAGAGGCGATATGGGATGGTGAATTTTACCACATTTTACCACATTTTACCCCATTTACGTGCCCAGAAGTGCTTTTTTGTTAGTTAAAACTAGTTGCCTTTATTGGCCCACTCACGTTTCATAAATGCATTTAGAGGAGGGGTTGTGTTAAACGTTTCAAACGTTGTCGTAATGTTTCTTCATTATAAGTAGGTACACAGGCACCGTGTATGTGCCTAATTACGGAGCGAGCGAAGCGAGCGGAGTCTTACGTAGAATAACGGAAATTTCTGAGTATGAGCGAACCGGCTGACCGGCCGGCCGTGGGGACGCTCTTCAAAAGCTAATATCTTAGGAACGGGACATCCGATTGACAAGCGGTCTTCTTTACTGAATGTCACTTGGACGTAAAAGTTATGTGGTGTGATGGCCACCATGCGTTCTTGCCAACCACCGCACGTGGCGGCTGGCGCGTGGTAAAGTTGGACATTTTTTAAGAACCCCCAAAATTGCAACCTCAATAACGGCACAACGGCTGGGCCGATTGAATTGAAACTCGGTACACAGTTAGGTCTCCATCAGATAATTCATCTGCATGTGTTAGGGTTGGGGTGCTGCTGCACGTGCGCACGTGCAGGGGTCGTTTCCAGATCTCGAGAACGGCTGGACCGATGGCGCTCAAATTTGGTACACGGTTAGGGACCAGTTAGTAGGGTGCCGTGCACAAGTCAGTTGGGACCCATTTTGCACGTGCGCACGTGCAGGGTGCCGCTTCCAGATCTCTAGAACGGCTGGGCCGATTGTGCTCAAATTTGGCACATCGCTAGAGACCGGTTAGTAGGGTGCCGATGCTGGCGCCGCCACCGACCGTCCACCGCTGCAGCCAGGCGTCGCTCTCCTGAAGAAACTGCATGTGTTCTCCCGCCGTTGCTGGATGGAGGCTGGATATCGCGCGTCGCTTTGAGCAGGGGTCGAACCGGGCGCAAGAGTTTAGCACATCGAGCAGGTCGTTGAGGCGCAGCAGGAGAGTAGCAGTCGGGAGTGCAGTGCGCGGGAGCTTGCCGTGGGTCGCATGCAATGTGATTGCTGCTGCTACTGTCCGGCTCATCACCTGTGGGGCATAGCTGACTTTCATTTTTCAAAGCTGTTTGGCCTGATGTGTTTCTGGCTTAGTTTTGGAGCAGCCCGTGGGGAAGAAGCGCATTCCAGTGCGTAGAGTGTTTCTAAATGACTCCAAGAGGCTACTTCACCGTCTACTTCAATAGGTATCGTATTTCATTAATGCATTTCGTATGCATTTGAAGATGTGAGGCACGTCATACAGAGCAGCAACCTCGTGCCCGTCCACGGTGAACAAGCCGGTTTCCGCAGCTCCGAGCAGTCTGTAGGTCGCCTGGTTGTTCTTTGACATGTCACCAGTTGTAGCTAGCACAGTGAATCCCGCTGTTGTTACACGTTGGACACACTGTGTTAACAGCTGCTGCTGCACAACGGCCTTGGTCGTTCCGTAACTCAGAAAGAAACCGATGGGCTGTTTCCAGCGTTTGGTGACACTGACGTCCCGCACCATCATGACCAAGGCGTGGTCGGCGCAGGCATTGGCGCGGCAGAGAGAGCCATGATCAGTGAAGCCCTCGATGACGTCATCATCCCGCTGGTAGGCCAACCTTGGTTTTAGCTGCATTTCGTCGAACGAAATGATGCACAGCTTGTCCTTGGCACTTGAACCGATACGCCCTGGGACCAAGGCCATATATAGTCCTGGGACCCTGAAAGTAGAGCGCGAATGCTCGCACTTCCTCATCTTCATCAAATTTTAGACGAATTTCATCGAATTTCATTTAACTTTAGACCAATGTTAAAACTATAATGCAATGAATATGTATAAATGCTCCCGTAACAATGTGTGCTAAAAGTTTCCAATAAAATATACGGCTACCATTTCAAAGTCACAGTCACAACTTGGCCCTTGAAGACGAATCATTCGACGATTGTTAAGAAAAAATGTATGAAATGTTAAAATATATGAAAATGTAAACCCACGTGGAAAGAAATTCATCCGCATCCTCCGGATCTCCGGATATTCATCCGGCAAAATCCTTGATTTTTGGTTACACACGTGGCAATGCTAATCGAAGCTCCTGTCCATTCCATGTCGTAGACTATATATTCCGTGCTCTACAGTGAACAATCAACAAGACCTAGCTTATTGGCAATCACCGTCAGACCTCCACACTCCCCATCCCGTCCCCTTACCTACCCGACCACTCCTGTCTCTGTGAACCGTGCGCTCCCGGTGGCGTCCTGCGCCAGCCGCAGCTCTCGCAGTGGCAGAGCCCGCAGCCGGTACAGCACGTGATCAGTGATATCACACACGTAGCCAACGTCCAGTGACTGGAGGTGACAGAGCCGGTCCAGGTGTACGAGACCCGACTCTGTCACACCGTCACAGCCTGGAGAGGCCGAGAGAGAGCGTCAGAGATATCTGGGGAGGGGTGAGAGAGCGTGGCAAGGTGTGAAAGACGGGCCTGGACTACCTATAGCTGCGTATCAAATGGGTATAGTTTCCACATTTCAAGACAGTTTCCGTCGTTTGACAAGATTCGATTCCGCGGTATTGGCATTGAAGACTTGGGTGGTGAATATATGCCGGTAGGTATGGTGTTGCATTCAGATACCGTTTGATTTTAGGGTCATTTCCCGTCCACAGCCTGAACACTGACGGTGTATCAGGTCAGATCCTCTCTGTTCTCGTAACTCCCGCGCTCCATCCCTCTCCCCTCACTGACCCTGGACGTTGAGCGCGGTCAGCGCCGGCGCCAGCTCCGGCAGACGGCGCAGCGTCTCGTCAGTGACCCCTGGCGCGTCACTGACGTCCAGAGACACCAGCCGCGCCAGCCCCTCGGGCGGCAGGTACAGCTGCGGCGGCGGGCCGAGCCGCGCCGCCGACAGCCGCTCCAGGCGGCGGCAGCCGGCCAGAGCCGCCGCCAGGTCGGCCGTCTTCAGCCGCGCCACGCCCGTGAGCTCGAGCTCACGCAGCTGGCGGCAGCGCGCCACGTGTCGCACGTGCTCCGAGCTGAGCCAGCCGCAGGGCAGGCTGAGCTGGCGCAGTGAGCCGGGCAGCAGCGCCAGGCTCTGGCCCGTCAGCTGGGTGCCCGGCAGTAGCTGGAGCCGGCGCAGGCGCGGCAGGTGGCGCAACAGCACTAGTACCGTGGCCTCGTCACACACGTAGTAGGAGGGCAGGGTGACGTCCTCCAGCAGCGGGCAGGCGCGCACCAGACGTCGCAGACGCTGCTGGCTGAACGTGAAGAAGCCGGACGACATGTCCAGCGACAGCAGGTTCGGACAGTGCGCCGCTGAGGACGAACGGACGTCGGACACAGACAGACGTGGTGGTTAGAGATAGCAAGACAGCACTCCGCTTCGCATGCTGATATGAAGTTGATTCAATACTGATTCGGTAATTTTTAGCCCGTTTGTACCTGAACTTGCCATAGGGGCCGTCCAATCCAACCCTCTGCACATTAGACATTATTAGGTCCCATCCGATTGCAGCACCCTCGGGACGAGTCTCTATCCCTCCCTGATCTGCCCTCTACTGCCGCGCTCTCCAGGCACTCACTGATGTGATCCATGGCGTCGAACGGGCAGAGGTGCGCCGGTCCTGTGTGCAGCCGCCGCAGCCCGGTCGCCTGCCGCAGCAGACTCCGCATCTGATCAGAGTCCATGGAGACCCTCTCTCCGGCGTCGGCAAAGTCTCGGTCGAGCAGGATCTCCGAGCGGCGGGCCAGCAGGCCGGCCACCACGGCGTGCCAGCGGCGCGACACGGCCTGCGCGGTCAGCTGGTACCGCAGCGGCAGGAGAGACAGGATCTGCTCCAGCAGCTCCGCCGGCAGCCGGTCCGCGTGGCACGCGCCCGACGACCGGCCGCGCCGCCGCCGCCGCTGTCCCCGCGGCTCGGCCGTCACTGACTCCGCCGGCGAGGCAGGCACCGTGGGCAGGGACTGTGGAGCGCGGGCGGCGGACCGGCGCGGCCGGGCCGGCTCGGCAGTGACCAGGCGGGAGCCCAGCCACACCGAGCCGACGCTGGCCGCCTCCAGTGCTCTGAGAACGGCGACCGGTGACGGTCAGTGGACCGATCAGCGTCAGCTGACCGGCCAGCGACACGGGCAGGCTACATGCAGATTCCTGCCTCAGTTTACAGAATTAGATATCCCAGTTAGACTTCTCCTCGAGCCCGAATCTGCACCATACTTTTCGCCCATGATTACAATTTACAAGTGTATCTATTACGGGTGAAATCCAGCAAGAGAGGGCACAAATGAATGCTGGGATATTCTGGAAGTCACCGGTTCTTACCCGAGCGCCGCATTCCGCTCCGTGAACGTCACGAAACAAAAGTCACGGAGCTGGCCGCTTTCCTTGTTTCTGACAAGTGTGACGTCCTTCACGAAGCCGAAGTCCTCGAAGGCGTGGAAGACCGTGCGCTTGGAGATCTGTTAACAGGCAGAGCGATGAAACTAGAATGATGCAAGAAGTTGATCTTCGCACAATTTTTATCCAGCCAATGAAAGGGTGCTACTTATTTTTGCTCTTTGTCCCCTTGCCTGGAAAATTAATTGGTTTAACTAGACACAGCCGATTTGAAGGTCAAGAACAATAAGTCATAAACTCCGTAGCAAAGATCAAGCTTCGCATCTAAAGGAGAAACAATAGAATGCATGTTATCGCCAATATAGGTACTATAGAACAATCATCGATAAAAATGAGCAAAATTTAAGCAAAACACAATCGGTTATCAATATATTACTCCTGGCACTCACTCTTCGCGGCAGGTTCCTGACGCAGAGCCGCAGGTGGTTATCGCCAGCGTTGTCTGGTGACTCCGGCCACCCTCCACCCCATGTGCTGGATCGGGTCCCTGAGCCATTGGCCAGTGCGGGCTGGTGTATGTCCGCTGAAGGCTCTGGACGGTGCTGAGCATGTCGGAAACGCCGTCTGCGGGGCATCACGTCCTGCTTGTGCTTCTGGGAACATCATGTAGACAGCATGGTGTCAGGAGGTGGACGTGCCATGCTGCATACTCCATATCACATCTTATAACTAGTACAAACATACCATCCCTTACCATCCCTTACCTATACCATCCTATACCTATCCTATACCATCCCTTATAATCGATGTGAAAGATTCTTGCTATATAAATTATAAACTTGACAATGTGAAAGGACAATGCACTAATGTGCATAGATTGGTCTAATAAACAAAACAAATTACAACAGACCCAAATAATGCATCATCCTTAATTTTCTACAGTACAGCTTTCTAATGAATGACATTACCAAACCAATATTAGTAATATTAAACTGAACCATTGATAAAAATGGGAACTACGAAGTTCACAGGATTTAAAAAAATGCTTCCCATCAATAATACATTATATCTTATAACAAGGGCATATGCATATATTGCATAGTGAATCACTCATTCATATGACACAAATGCAAAGGGGCTTTTAGGGCATTGGTCCCTCCTGCAGCACCCAACATTGACAATCTGTAGTGCAATCTATGCAGTTTTCCAACCACCAAAAGAGGGTATCGGTACGGCAAAGGAACCTCAACCTAACACGATTTATTGGGAAATGATTGGTTTGAAATGTGTATCAAAATGAAAGAAAGCAGCACCCAAGAAGCTCTTGTAAAGCAAAGCAACATCATGGAGAGTATGCCCCACAACCAACATGTAGGTACTTATCTTACCACTTTGCTGGATCAGGATCTACGGCTTGCACAGTTGCCTGGCCAGTGCTTGTCATTGATAATTGTATATATTTGATGCATTGTTTCTTTAAAGCGAAAGCCACTCAAGTGTGTCAAAGAGGTCAAGGTCCGACATTACAGCAGATATTTACTAAAATTATCGAGATTAGAGCCATATGGTTGCAGAGTATCGCTAGCCAATTGACTACCTACTTCAACTTGGGCATCAATCATTGAATGCCTTGAAAAGGGAACCAGCCAAGATTCTTACAGATAGAACCAGCCACATGTATGATTTTGAATAAGCAGAAAAATACATTACACTTGAAATGGGAGAACCAAGACAGGTAGTGCCACTCAGTTTAAATAATTATCCAGAGCGCTGTTCGGCAGCCGGCTATTTTGTGTGCAGGGTATGACGTATTTCGCGAGCCGACGTCACACGCGGTGACGTCGGCTCGCGCGCGAGCCGAGCGCCAACGACAAACTAACGGGAACCCTCGGACACCCTCGGGGCATAAACCGCGGAGTAGCATATTGAGCGAATCTTATAAGGAAAATTCATATATTTTCGTTTCTCAAATGATAATCAGGGTGTCTCTTACCTTTTTACATATCATTTAGTCTTACCTAACACTTCAGTCGCCAAATATCTGCAATTTATTCAAGCGAAGGTATTTTCAGTAAATATCAATGGTATAGACCGAAATCTTTTGAATAAAAACTCCAACCAACAGAAATAAAAATAACTTAATTTATTCCAACCATTTCCTCCAAATAAACAACATAAAAACTCACTTTTACACACATCATTCATAATAAAGCATACTAACACGCCGCTTTTGACAATTGCGGCGTCGAGTGGCGCGCTGCTAGCGCTCTTTTTCGATCGCAGAGACCCTGCACGCGCGCGAGCACACTACGTCACGTCCGGGGGGCACAGGTATATGAAAAATCGCAGTGACGTAACACTTTTCTCGCTTCTCATTGGTCAATAGCCCGTTGCCGGGGTAACGTGCACGTATGTGAGCGCGGGCAAGAGTACTAGCCGGCCGCCGATCAGGGCTCAGCAGAGTAAAACAGTGATCATCACGGTTGGTTGGTTGGTTTGGGTTAAGCACCACATCCAGTGGACCAAGGTGCTAACCGGAACTCTCACGCTGTTCCAAGCGGTCAGGTAGCGGCAATGCCACGTGCATCGCCCGGGAATCGAACCCGGATGGCCGAATCTAGAGGCAAGTATCTTACCCCTAGACCGGAATGCTCCCCAGTGATCATCACATAACATATCTTTCTCTAATATTTTGTTTCTTGCGCGTCAGATATGTCTACTGTTTGGTAAACAATAGATGCGTTCGGCGTAGAGTTCAGTGCGTTCGGCACAGGCACAGACTCACAAGGCATAAATCGATGCAATTATATGAAAAAGGCTGCAATTACCAAATTTGAACAATAAAATTAAAAGAAAAATGTTTTTCATTGACTAGTATTAGGTATGTCTGTATGTCTATGCGTATTATAGCTTCGGCAGCTAAGTAGCAAGCAAAGGACAAAATTGTGTATAGGTACCGGTCAGGACTTCAAACCTGCGAAACGTCGGCAGCTCACCAGCGTCCAAACTGGTCCAAACGTACAAACTCCAAATCGTCTAATTTACAAACTTTGATCGGACACCCACCGCGGACAATCCAGATCTTATTAGATCTTAAATTGATACTGAGAATACACCATGGGCATGGTTTTCAATAAAAGTAGGTAGGTACCTATTTCGAAACATCATAGAAATAAAGACATTCACTAATTCGAACCTTTTCTCAAGACCCCGATTTCAACCAAACGTCCAGATGCTCCAGATCTGCTCCAGATCCTCCAGATACCTAAATGTCCGCAGAAACTTCTTGGACTTTTTGTAGGGATACTTATTCTACGCAACGTGCTTTGCATGGTAATGCACCAATGCACTAGCGGAACCAGACCGGGATGAAAGGGCTATCGGCCACGAAGCTGAATGCCTGCCATGGCCCATGGGATGTTGGCGTCATGTTAAAAATCGGTTTTCGAGTGGATGCTCATTGCCCCCCCCCCCCACCCCACACCCCCTTAATGCGACTGTCAGTCCTGACATGTGTAGGGGGGGGGGGGGGCAGGAATTGATAGCTACTACCACTACCAAAAACTGTTATACCGGGGTATGCAATCTGCATGACTGAGAGCTCAGAACGCATTCCATGGTTTTCGGTCGTTCTCGTTACCGATGATTCCTTTCCGACGTTTCTTATTATTACGCCTATCACAATCTACAGTCTTCACATACCTAGACAAACTCAAGTCACCCTCGTCGAAAATAAGCCGCGAACATCCAACTGGCTCAAACCGGACTCTACCACCGCCTATCGGTCGTTCACTCTCAGAAGTCAGCGAGCCAATTGCGAGTATAACTATTAATTACTAATAACACCAGGGCACTCAATTATTGCAAATCTGCATCACTATCGGGATTTGAGGGCCACTGAGACGTGTAGCAGTTACCTACCTTTGACCAGACATGTGCATGGATCCGAGAGGTGGATCTATGATCTCAGTGGATCTCTCGACAAAATGAAGAGGTCGGAACTATGATCTCAGTGGACCTCTCGACAAAATGGAGGAGTCGGATATATGACCTGAGCGGATCCCAGATCCAGATCCTCGGGATCAGATCTTGGACCCATTTTCCAGATCCATGCACATGTCTGCCTTTGACCTTGTTGGTCTGCTAGCCAAGGTCTGTTATTTTGAGCATTGTCCACTGCACGCGGCCACGCTCTCTTACCTGGCGTTCCGCCATTGTTTGTCGATGCTTGAGCGTCGGTTTCAGCCGTTAGTGGGTTATATCACGGCGATGGTCGGCTTTTGGGATCTGTTAGGGACACGTATGGCACCGACAATAAGCAAGAACGAAAGCGCACGTCGCGTCGACACCGGGGCAGGGAGCCAAGTGGCGGCCGCCCCCACGCAGCTGCGTATTTTTAACGCTCTCTGCACCTCCCCGTCACACGGGGTCTGCCTCCACAGCCACACGCAGTTCATTCACCGGAGCCCGTTTGGCGTATCCGCCAATAGGCAGGCGGCCGTCGGCTTGGTCTATGCCCGCTCGCCACAAACAACCGCCCCGCACTGCAGCCGGCGCCACCCCTCCCCTCTGCGGCTGTTCACCCCTCCCCTCTGCAGCTGATCACCCCTCCCCGCTCCCCACCGGACCGGCTATACTCGTTCCGTCCCCCCTCCCCCCTCCCCTTTCCGACCGTCGGATGATCGTCGGTCGATAATGATCATGAGGGGACGGTGGACCGACCGACCGGCCGCGGCGTCCCGTCCGACGCGCCACTGCGAATCATTTGTTTGTTTGTTTTGTTGGGTTAGGCCCTTTCGGTCGGCAAGACCATTGCAGAGCCGGAAGGATGATAGGATTTAGGGGGAGACATTGGTCTGGGCAGGCACCCTAGTGAGTCGCCGGGGCTGAGCCCGTCCAGAGGACAGGCCACCCAGCCCCAAGGCACTCACTGCACCCGGCTACGGGGTGCGCTCCCTTGGGAGCAGCGGTGCCGCTCCAAGGGAGCAGCCCGCATGAGATAAAGTTGCCTGTCCAGCCCGGAGGGAGGTTGCGGCATGGAGGAGAAGGATTTCAGTATCCTGAGGATAGAAGCACGGATAGGTGTGACTGCGAATCACGGGAGAACCAGCAGATGGGAGATCATGATTCTGCAGCTTCGTGACCGTTATGTGCGTGCAAAACCTAACTAAGAAGAGGCTTTTTTCTCGTCATCGATAGATGTGTCTTTATCAGCAATGATATGCAAAAGCTGGCTCAGAATCCGGCCATGGCACACAATTTTCACGAGCTCCAGCTGCTATGTCTCCAATAGGCGATGATTTGTATCGTACCTCGGCACGGCCATTGGACAATATGGCACCGCCCATCATTCATGGTAGTAGTCTGTTGTAAGTCGAACCGTCTAAGCGTAGCGCTGAATCCAGCGTTTCTTCGTTTCTTCGTTTGTTTGTTTATTTGTTTGTTTGTTTGTTTGTTTGTTTGTTTGCTTGCTTGTTTGTTTGTTTGTTTGTTTGTTCGTTTGTAACATTTAATTTATTTTTGTGAAGAACACTATACGTTGTCAAGCTGCACCGTTCGTCCAGCTGTAACAATACGCCGCAATTCTCCCTATTTGGCCGGGTCTGGTTTGGCCGCTGCTCTTATTCCAACACTCCCGGGCAGAGTGCACCGTCACCCACCATTAAACTCCACCCGCGCTGCTCAATGAACTGGCAAAGCCAGTGGCAGTTTATCGTTGCCTCATTGGAATTGGTCAATAGTTATTTTGAGCCCGCGCCTCTGTGCCGCTGACCTATTGCTAAACGTTCACGACTATGGGGGATCGCCCATATCTCGCCCATATCTCAGAGCTCAGAGCCGATAACAAATGCTGTCCCGCTTCAGCAGCGGAAAAGACGACGGCACGCTATGTCCAGGGTGGCCTAAGAGGGTGTTTAGGCTGTGGTCATCCCCAGACAGCGTCGACTACTTAGTGTCCAGGTGAGATGGTGAGAGATGCAGATGATGAGGATGATAAAGTTTCCGTCTCCAGTTCGGCGATAGTCTCTCGCCATGCAAACACGCTTAATCCTGCTTAATCCACTCCTGCTATATTTGCACTACTTCTTAGTTCTTGTAGCTTTGTTCAGTCTTTTTCATCACGAAATTGGTTCTCAAAGACGCCTTCCTATCCAACTGATTTGTTAACAGTGCTTTTGCATGGTTTTAAATTTTACCCATACCTACCCATAATACGAAACGGGTGCACCTCGCATCATTAGCGTAACAGTCGCTTAACTCGCTTTCATATGTGTCATGTGTTCATCTGAAATACAAAATGTCATCGGATGAAGTTTTGAGTTGGTATCACAGCCATGTTAACCCTAGAACGCCTAGGGGGGTTGTATCAACCCCCCCCCCCCCCCTGAGGTTTTTTCGAAGTGCACGCTAAACGGCTTGTCGTAGCGGGCTGAAATTTTCAATACCCTCTGGGGCAACCTTTGCGCATCTTTTGCCGAAAAAAAATTGATCGGGTCATGTCAGGTCACGGAGTTATGACGTCATAAGAGGTACAGCCTCCGGCCGGATTTTCACAAACTGAGTGCCAACGCCCGAGGTTTCCTGCCGGTGGTACGGACATCGGTTGATGGATCGTGATGAAACTTCCCATGCATGTTGGGGCAAGTCATGGCTATCATATGGTATAAGAAATTTGACCGGGCCAGGTCAGGTCACGGAGCTATGACGTCACAAGAGGAACAGCGTCCGGTACTATTTTTG